GTGTGTGTGTGTGTGTGTGTGTGTGTGTGTGTGTGTGTGTGCGCGTGCGTGCGTGCGTGTGTGTGAAGTGAAGAACAAGCCCTCTGAGGTAAGTCATGGTCTGAGTGTTGGTAGGTATCCCCACTCCCACCTCATCCTCATCTCTTCCCCGGGACAACCCTGTCACTATGAGACAGCCTAGCTGTGATTTTCCACCCAGGTTGCATGTCAGAAACCTGTGTGGAGATTTTTAAAGAGCTGTGTCCCTGACCTCACCTCAGATCTAATGAATTTCTGAAGTAATGCCCAAGCTTCTTTTAAAAGCGCCTCTGCTCCATGGGTGATTCTGATGGGTAATCATGCTGGGAATTGCTGTCCTAGCCCGTCTGGTAAGCCACACTTCTGGTCCTACTTTTTTCTTCTTTCCTCTGTCCTGAAACTCACTTGTTTCTCTCCAGCCTGGTGGCTAATAGACCCTTCTGCTCCCCTACTTTCAGGGCAAGTACTGTTGTCTGTGTCATATTATCTGTGTTACCTGTGACCACTGTGGGAACTGTGGCCACTGCATATCAATCCCATTCATACTCAGGCTGGTATGACTCCATGAGGACCCTGCCCTCCCTCTGGGTCACCACATCCTAGTCACAGCTAATATTTATTGAGTACAGACTGCGTGCCACAGTCTGTTCTAATCCCATCAGATACATTAGCTATCTCATTTATTCCTCACAGTAACTCTTTTACCCAGTTTTACAGACAAGGAAACAGGCACATTGAAGTTAAGTGTCAGAGCCTGCATTTGAACTCAGTCACTTTTATTCCAGGGCTCATGCTTTTAACTACTCCACATACTTCCTGTGCCCATCATGCAAGAAAAGGATCCATGAAAATAGCTTGCACAAGTCCCATGTTATTCTAGAAACAGTCATAATTCAGTTCTATGTCAATAGCCCTGTCTCCTTGGGTCCCTTTACAGCACCCTCCCCTAGTGTTCCACCTTCGTCTCTACCAACCACTCCTTTCTGGAATGCTCTTTTGGTTTCTCCTCTGTGTGTCCTTCAAATGTCAGTGCTCTCTAGGGCTCTCTTCTATGCTACTCACTTTCCCATGCAAGCTTGTCTTCAGTGTGGCTTTAAGTGCCACCTGTGTGTCAGTGCCCAAATGTATGTCTCAGCCAGGGCCTTCCTCCAACTCCAAAACCATGTGTCCAGCCACCTGTAGTCTTTCTCCAGTTGGATGTTCACAGGACCAACCTTGAACTCTGCATATACAAAGCTGAACTCCTGCCCATCCTGACCTGACAGCCTTCTCGTGTGTCCCGAGCCACAGTGAAAGACACCAGCATCAACAGCGCAGAACCCTGGGCTCAGCCTCAATGCCTCCTCCTATCACCCCTTCCAGCCTGACACTTGCCATCACCTAAGTCACCCCACCAGCTTCCACACTGGCTTGTCTGCTCCAGTCCCATCCCTCGAATTTGTTTTCCACCTGGTAGCCAGAGTGATCTTGTTAAAATGCAGATCCCATCGAATATCTCTGCTGACTCAAACCCTGTCTTGGCACTCTGTTGTCCTTAGGATAAAGTCCAGACAATTTAGCATGACATCCAAGTCCCCTCAGGATTGGGTGCCGCTCTACTGTTCCCTCTACTGCCCACTTCCCTCCAGCTGTACTGACTAGTTCCAGTTCCTCCAGCAAGACTTGTTGCCTTCTCTTGCCTCTGTCCGCACCATTCTGCCTTCACCTGGCTAGTGTCTGCTCATCCTTCTTGTCACAGCTGAGAAGTCATCTCCTCTAGGTCATCATCTCCTCCTCGACCTGCCAAGTCTGGGTTAAGGGCCCAACCCAAATGTCCTCAAACCAAACCACATTTCCCCCATCACAGTGCTTACCCCTCTGTTGTACCATGTACTTGTCTGTCTCCCTAGACTGTAAGCTCTGTGGGGACAGGGACAGGGGCATGGGCACGGTGTCCTTCCTGGGGCCCAGCACGGTGTCTGGCACAGGACAGGTACAATCACAGCAGACACATTCTACTTCTGAGTTCTGAATGTAGGGAACCTATATTTTTATTTAAAAGGTACTTACTGAACTTTTGAAATTCATAGTCAGTTTTTCCTGGTACTTACCCTCTTGTCAACAAACCTAGTCCTTTTGGACATTGCTTTCCACCCCAAATACATACACATTCTGTTCTTCATTCTCCTTCCTTTTACTACTTGGCATTTAGGCCATGCTATATGAATTGTTTCCCTTTTTCACACTGAAGCTTTCCCAAGTGGGCTTTTTAATGAGGTCCTTGTTTTTTTTCTGAACCTGTTACTAGTTCTCTGCTCCTTGTTCCCTCATGGGAAGCAGACCTAAAGGTCCTTCTCATTCCCTTGATTCTTCTTTGGTCAGTTCCTAAAGAATTATCATTGGTTAAGCTCCTACACTGTACCAGCCTCACTGTTTTGCTACTAAGCCAGCAGGTGTAACTAAGCATGCTGTGGGTGTCCCCAGCAGGGGAATTCAGGCTTACTCCTTGCCTAAGAGAACATGAGTAAATGCTAGAACTGAGAATTAAAGCCAAGATTCAGTGTTGTTTATCAAAAAGTACCATTCATGCAAATTAACTAAATTTCTCCTTCAAACCTATTTCCTTCCCAGATTTTCCAAAGCCTTCGGCTTTTTTTTTTGTTTTAACTTCTTGAAGAGAAAGCCCTTTATAGGGCAGGGCATTAGATTGATTGGTTCTGTTCATCAGAATATTCTGCACTATTAATAATTCGATCTTTTAAATCTAGGCAGTTTTGTGTGCTTTTTTTCAATTAAAATGCTTTCTGTAAAAGAAAAACCTTAAACTGGAGAAGGGAAGTGATGTTTGAGACGAGATACATTTCTGAGGGTAGGGAAGGAGTCAGGAGAAATGCTGTGCCCAGTGAATATAAACCCTACACCCTTTCCCTGAGAAAATCTTCAGTCACATTTATAGTACTCAATCTAAGGGGAAAAAAAAAGATTTCTATAAAAGCAAAGGAGGCTGTGTAGTTTCGAGATTTGTTAGAACAGTCACGTTGTCGTTGTTAGGTGCCATCGAGTCGGTTCCGACTCATAGCGACCTTATAGGACAGAGTAGAACTGCCCCATAGGGTTTCCAAGGAGCAGCTGGTGGATTTGAACTGCTGACCTTTTAGTTAGCAGCCGAGCTCTTAACCACTACACCACCAGGGCTCCAGAATAGTCATAGAAAACACTAATTTCTAGAATTGTAGAATTTTTCAATTAGGAGAGAACTTAGTGATCATCTGTTACATCCCCTTTATTTTGTAGTGAAGCTGAGGCTGATGGAGCTCTGGTTACTTGCTTGTGGTCACACAGATGATAGAGGCTGACCTGGAGGTTGGGCCCAAGTCTCCTGACTCCAAGCCCGGAGGTTTCCTACACAGGAAGAAGAAAGATGGATTTAATCTCATGATCTAAAATATTTTGTCTCTAATGGTAACAGCATATGTTAGAAGATCTATATAATTAACTTTATTGGTGTCTCCATCTGAGTGCTGAACCACTTTTAAAAAATGAGTAAGGCAACGGGAGATCAAAATATCTTAATTACCAATGAGGCTGACATTGGAGAACATGGCTTAAATCTGCCTGATACTGAACCCTAGCGTCAGCTGACTGTCATAGGTTGGTTCCTTAGACATAGGCCTGAATCAGGGCTTCTCGTACAGGTGACTCATTGCAGTAGCTTTCAGAAGGGTAGCAGGATAAGGTAGGGGCATGACCTCAACTGCAGACCAGCCTTAGTCAGAGCCTCTGGGGAGCTCTGGAGCACGAATTGCACCCACTGCAGAGTTGGTTCCTCCCGTGACAAGGGGGCTGCCTTTTTACATCTGCTGTCAGTCCCTGGCTTTGGCTGAGGGCAGTTCTCCAGAGAAGGGGTCAGCTGTGCGGTATTAGCAGACAGCACTCAGAGCGGCTGGGGATGGGCTCACCAGTCTGCTGAGGGGATCTGGATGGGGTACCAGTAGTGTCAATGACACCTCCCTACCCAGTTGTAGGCAGTATTTGGCCACAACAGCCCTGCATACATGTGGGACTGCAGTGCTAAATACAAGCCCTTTTCAGCCAGAGTCCCTTACAAAGGGAAACAGTAATCCTGGTGCCTGGCAGTTAATCACATCTAGGTTCTGGGGACAGTATTACAGCCAATGGATAGCCCCTCACATGAAATAAAGCACTTAGAGAATAAGTGCGCCCCTGCTAACGAAAGTAACGTATTTTCACATTTTGTAAAGACTTTCTTGAAGAGAAGTCCGAGAACACATAACCTGCCCGTTTTAATGAAAGGATGGGATAGAAAAAAATCTCCCAAATATAGACAGCTGCCCTACTGGAACCTGACTTCAGTCCACATCTCCTATTTTTAGTCCTTATCATGTTTATTCATTCCACAAATGATTGCTGAGCACCTACTGTGTGCCATAGAAAAGTACAGCAGGGGAAGAAATGGAAAAAATACTTAATCCTCATGTAGCACACATTCTAGTGGGGGGAGCCAGGCAAGAAGTAAAATCAGAGGAATGTTAAATGACGAGATGTGATATGATGAAAATGATGCCAAGCTGCCAGGAGGTGACAGTGCTGAGGTGAGGGGTTGGTTTGCAAGTTTGATAGGGTGGTCAGGAAAGGCCTTATTGAGATGTTTGAGCAAAGGTAATGAAAAAGGTTGGGGGCAAATGTGCATATCTGGGTGAAGAGGATTCCAGGCAATGAGAGCAACAAACACAAAAGCCCTAAAATGGGAAAAGGCCCACTGTGTTTAAAGAACAGCAAGGAGAGAATAGAAGCAGCTAAGGTCAGAAATGTAATCAGGGGGCAGGGATGCTTGTTTTTACTGAGCAAGATGGGACACCTTTGGAGACTTTTGAGTCCAGGAGTGAGCAGGGAGATGAGGATATAAGAGGAATGACAATCAGAAAAGGTGGTAGAATCAACAGATTGTTGGCATCAGCATCCTGTGGTAAAACTTCAGAGGTGGTGGTTGGAGACAGGGATGCTTGGAATTAAGATTATGGAAGGGTTGTATTGTTGGTAAGGATAAGGTCTAGGCTACGATCATGGGAGTAAGGTAGGTGGGAGGACAAGGTCATTGAAGAAGTTAAGGAGTTGAGAGGTCAGGGTATTGAAAGGCTCACCTGTGTGGATACTGAAATCATCCAAGAATGACCTGAGTTTTGTTGGAGAAAATAACAGTGACCTGCAGTTTGTGGATAACTCCAACAAGTAGGGGAAGTGGGTAGTAGAGTAAAATATTCTAATTGATTTATGCAACATTTGATAATGATAGCCCCTTTCTCATTTAAAATTGTTTTTCTTCTGCAGTACTGTTCTCTAGTTTTTCTATCTTGTGGCTATTCTTCTTAGTCCATAACTTAGTTCTCCGTTTCAGCCTGCCCCTTAAATATCAGTTCTTTGTTCCCTTTTTGCCACTGCTCTTTTCTCAAATATTACAGTGAAACCTTGTGAGAGCCAGAACTCAACGGGACTGCTTTGTTTTTCTGGGTCTTACAAGTTTTCCACATTTGACAGGGCAGAAAACTATTCTGTTGCTTGTTTTAGTGGAAACTACAGTAAAACCTGTGAAAGCCAGAACCTGTGTAAGGCGGAAACCTGCTAGAGAAGGAAAACTCAAATATTTTCCATTTAATAATTAATGTTTGATCATAATATTAATTTCAAGTATTGTCAATAATGTCCTGAAACTCTAATATTTTGGCATTCACACCACTACCCTGGTTCTCAACGCTAGCATTATTTGTATACAGTGCTTCTCAGTAAATGCTTGCTGATTCCTCTGTAGCTGTATTCATTAGCTTGTTAGAGAAAGTGCCGCATATTGAGGGTCTTAGGACTGGGGAGTAGAGGTTTCCAGGCAGGGAGTATGGTATATACAAAGACATGGAAGTAAAACATACAAGAAGTAAGCACATTCAGGTACTGGGGTAGCTCTGTATGGCTGCCATTTCCAGGACTGGTGATAAATTCAGAGGGGAGGATGGACAGTGATGAAGTCATGAAGGGCCTTGTTTGCCTTACTGAGGAGTTAGGAGGTTTATCTTGAAGGCAAGAGAGATGCTTTGAAAGATCTCTACAAGCAAGTGACCTGATCAGTGTGACAGATGCATTAAGGAGGGTTGAGATTGGAAGTAGAGAGACTAGTTAAGGAGCTGTTACAACAATGCAAATGACGAGGGCCTTTACTGTAGTGGTGCAGACAGGAAAGAGATCTAAGTGCCTGGGTGGATTGTGATGCTCGTCACTGAATAGGTACTAAAGAGGAGAAACACGTTTGGAGACGAGCTAGTTATGGACAAGTTGGGACCTCTAAATGGAGATTTCCATTAGGCAGTTGGAGACATGTGACAGGAGATGCAAAAATCTGTTTATTTGCCATAAAAATGTTAAGGACATTGTCCCATTTCTTCCCTTGGTATCCTTTTTACAACTCTCCTAGCCTAGTCAGCCTACCACCAGCAGGGCTAAATCCATAGCCTGAATTCATTGTAACCAGGAAGACAACACACCAGAACTGTGAGGCATCTCACCAAACAAAGGAAAAGATAGTTGTAGGGTTCCAGGGAAGAGTGGAAGAGTCCTCAAGAGACTCTTATACATCAAATCCACACATATAAATGATTCTAGAATGTAAATCACTTAAGTCACTTATACAATTTATATTGAATAGTTATTCAAATTAAAATTTAAATGAAGCAAAGCAGAGCTGTATATGTACAGGTCATCATCAAGTCTAGTCTGAGAAGTGGACCCAGGGTGCCATTTTCTACAAAGCCAGGATTAATGTTGAATGTCATGTTCAGAGATCCTTATTTGAAGTTCTGCACCTGGGTTGGAAATCAAGGCTACCTCTCTGTGTGAAAGTGACAGAGATCCTCCAGGCAAGAGTAGGATTGATGGTCAGTATCAATCACAGATGTAATTTCAAACAGCAAATTTCTGATGGTTTGTGATTTGAGAGAATATGGTTCTCAGTGAGTAAGAAAGCAGTTTTCACTCAGAGAAGAGGTCCATTATGACACTCCATGGCTGTAGTGTGTTTTTGGGAGAAAATGTTTAGTTGGTAGCAGGTTTTATCTGTGTCTGTTATCCCAATTTAGATAAATGGCAGAGCTGACTTTTACATTCTCAGTCCAAACTAATTTTTACTTTCTCAAGCCCCACTGAAATAGTTAAGAATCAAATCTTTTCAAAGCTTTTAATAATAAGTGTTTTCTATTCTGACAATGAAAATTCACAGTATTCTGCCTTTGCCTTGTCTGCAGAGAAGTTTTGGTATGGAAATCATGACAATTTTTATGGTTGGCACATGTGCATTTTTCTTGGTCTTGCTTTTCTACTCATGATTTTACTACTTTAAAATACTTCAGATTCCCTATGGAAAAGAGAATATAAATGAAAATAATAAAACAAAGGCTTTAATTTATTGTAGCTTTGCCACTTACCTAGTCATAGTTCATAAATATAACTTTTAACTGTGCATGTATCCTTAAATGTGTATTTCTGGATGAGCTAACTTGACAAAAATGTTATGGCTAATAATTTATAAAATTTATTAAAGTGACAGTTGATAAGAACAATTCATAGAGTCTTTTTAAGTCATGAAGTCTTATGATTTATCTGAGAGGATCTATGAACTCTATGAAGTTGTACAGAAGGTTTTACATGTCTAAGCACATGTATATTTCTTGAGAAGGTTCATAGGTTACATCAAATTTTCAAGAAGATCTGTGACCTAAAAGATCTTCCTTAGGAGACCCTTATGTATCAAATCCACTGAATAAAATGATTCTATGATACAAATCACGTAAGCCACTTAAACAATTTATATTGAATAATTTGTTTAAATATGTGCTTTTGGTAATCTAAGTTGTAAAACTTGCCCTTATTTCAAATGTTTTTTCTCAACAGATAAAATATTTTGATAAAAGAAGAGACTACTTAAAATTCAAAGAAAAATTTGAAGCAGGACAATTCCAGCCTTCAAAAACAACTGTAAATTCCTAGGCTGCTCCTGAACATTTCACAAAGGTTGAAACTGTTCTTTCTGGACATTCAAAAATGCTCCCTTGACCTTGGGGCAATAGTAAATATCAGTACTGTTTGAATCATGGTAAATGTCAATACTTGTTCCTTATCCACAACTCTTAATAAGTAAAATGGTCAAATAACAGAGGATTCCACCATTCAGACTATGAAGAACTGAAATAAAGTGTGTAAAATATGCGTAGTTTTAATTTCATAAGAAACCTATATTTTAAGAAAAAAAAGCCTCTCATAAAAACATAGTATTTTATTGTTAGAGGCTGGGTAGTAGGCAAATATGATAGATATAGACGGATGCTGTCTTAGGCTGGGTTCTCTAGAGAAGCAAAACCAGTGAAGCATATGAATATATAGAGAGACTCATATCAAGGAAATGGGTCGTATGGTTGTAGAGGCTGGAAAGTCCCAAGTCCGTGGGTCAGGCTGGAGGCTTCTCCTGACTCAGGTAGCTGCAGGGGCTGGTAAACCCAAGATCAGCAGGTTAGACGGCAGGCCTCTGGTGCACAGGTTATGGAGGCTGACGAATCTCAACATTGGCAAGTAAACTGCTAGTTTAAGTCCGAAGAACCAGATGTGAAATGAAAGGAGCCAACTACAGGATCCAGAGCAAGCAAAAGCCGGCAAGCTTTGCCAGAAAGTCTATCTATATTGGATGCAAGCCACACTCCCAAGGAAACTCCTTTTCAGCTGATTGGCTGCTCATAACAGATCTCATCATGGAGGTGATTACATCATTACATAGCTGCCAAACCACATCATAACTACCAAACCACTGAGAATCATGGCCTAGCCAAGTTGACATACAATCTTAACCATCACAGATGCTAATAAGAGTAAGCTGTCATTGTGTGTTCCTGGGAGTCAGCATTTTCATATAGGGACTGAAAATTGAGGATGAGAAGAAACTTGAACTTAAAATGTACAAGTAACATAATACCAAAACCAAACCTGTTGCTGTCAAGTCAATTCTGACTTACAGCGACCCTCTAGGACAGAGCAGAACTGCTCCCATACAGTTTCCAGGGAGTGGCTAGTGGATTTGAACTTGAATTTTGGCTAACAGCCAAAATTTAAACCAAAGGTATGTTAAAAAATAATACTCAAAAAAAGCATAGCTAATATCCTCAATGTTGAGAAAATGAATGCTTTCTTCCTAAAGTTGGTTAACAAGGTAAGGATGTGCCCTCTCACTACTCCTATTCAACAATGTACTGGAAGCCATAGCCAGTGCAGTAATGCAAGAAGGAAATAAAACATAAATGGGCAAGGAATAAAACTGGTCTATTTGCAGAAAATATTGTTATCTTTGTAGAAAATCCCAAGTATTGATAAAAATAGCTTCTAGAACTAATAAGTGAGTTTTAGAAAGGTTGCAGTTATTCTCATATACTAACAATGAGCTGTAATTTGAATTTTAATACCGAAGGAAAAAAGAATACTTAGATACAAATTTAACAAAATAAGTGCAGGATCCATATATTGAGAATACAAAACATTTGAAATAAGATGTAATTAAATGGAGAGAGTTATTGTGTTCATAGAAGGCTCAATATTGTTGATTTTATTAAAATCCCCCCCAATTTGATACATGGATTCAGTGTAATCCCACTTAAAATCCCAGCAAGCTTTTTTGTAGATACTGACAAGCTAATACTAAAATTTAAATGGAGGCTCAAAGGAACTAAAATAGTCAAAATAATTCGATAAAGAACAAAGTTGGAGGATTCAAATTACATCATTTGAAGACTTACTATAAAGCTTCAGCAATCAAGACAGTATGGTATTGGCAAAGGATGGTCACATAGTTCAATGGAATGGAACAGAACATCTAGAAATAGACCCACACAAATATAGTCAACTGAGTTTGGACAAAGGTGCAAAGGCATTTCAATGGAGAGAGGTTAGTCTTTTCAGCGAATGGTGCTGGAAAAATTGGATGTCCATACACACAAAATGAACCTTGGCATATACCTCCTACCTTATACAAAAATTCTAATATTAAATATATACTCAGCAATCCCACTCCTAGGTGTTTCACCAAATGAACTGAAAACTTATGTTCATACAAAAACCTGTACATGAATGTTTAAAGAAGTTTTATTCATAATAGCCAAAATTGGAAACAACCCAGAAGCCCTTCAACAGACGAATGAATAAACTGGTATATCCACAATGAAATACTACTCAGCAGTAAAAAGAAATGAACTTCTGATTCATGAAACAACATGGATTATTCTTAAATGTATTTTGGTACATGAAAGAAGCACCAGACCCAAAAGGCTACGTATTATATGCTTCCATTTATATGATCCTGGAAAAAGCAAAAGTACAGGATACAAAACAAATCAGTGGTTGACAGCAGTTGGGGATGAGGAAAGCAGCTGACTACAAAGGGGCTGCAGAAAGCAAATTTTTAGGTTGATGAAACTTCTCTATGTATTGGTGGATCCATGAGTATGTATTTGTCAAATCCCACAGAATTGTACACTATAAAGAGTGACTTTTATTGTATGCACCTTAAAAAAAAACAAAAAAACCAAGATACTGGAAGATTGCAGTGTGGGATGTACATTGTGAAAAGTGATCTAACTATATTATAAATATATGGCATAACCTCATTGAAAGGTATGGGTAAGAAAGGGGCCGACCTAAATAACTTGGGAAAACAATGTTTGACTGGATCCTATAAAGCTAACGACAAAAAGAACTGAACACAAGTTGGTAAATTTCTATCTCACAGGGATATGTTTTAGCAATTCTGACTCCATGTATTCTAGTGTTGTACAAATCACCAAATATATTATGGTGAATAAGAACCATGTTTCTCACTGTCAGAAAAAGCAGCCCCAAATATGTAAAAGATGAATGTTAGAATGAACCCTGTAGTGTTGGATTAATGTCAGAGAAATCAGTAAGAACTCTTATTTAACATATCTATATAGGGTCACTATGAATCAGCATTGATTTGACAGCAGTGGGTTTTTTTTGTTTGGATACACTGGATATATTTGTAAATACAGACATAGATATGTGTGCATACATGGGCTAGTATACATAAAAATATTTCATAGCTCTGTCCACTGAGAGGACACAGAAGCAGTGACACTGTAGTAGCAATGCACACATCTAGCACCCAGATCTTGGTTTCTAAATACCATTCTCCAATAAAAGGAACCAGTCTCCTCGGAGAAATGCCTGATTCTAGAACTGGAGTTGGAAAAATAAAAATGAGCCTTGAGCATCTTGTAGAGCTAGAAAGTAAAGAAGTGCTTGAAGAAAAAGAAGAATGGGAACATGTCAAAAAGACACAAAAGCCACCATCCATACTGATACAAACAGGTGACTGAGTAAGGAACAAGTCTTCCTTACAGAAGAATTCCAATAATAGGTGTAGAAGAAATGAGGGAAATAGGATATCACCATTAGACTACTACAGTAATAATTACTACAGGCAATATCCACTGATGAATACTAAAACTAATGGGCAAAACAGTTAAGGAAAAACAGGATATTTGCACAGCCTCCAAGTATCTTCTCCGAAATATTTATTGTTATGGTGGTTTTAACAGGTCCACAAATTCTTTGCTACTCCTCCCTTCAAGAGGTGGAGCGTATTTTCCTTAACCTTGAGTGCACGCTGGACTTAGTGACTCTTCTAACAAACTGATTGTTACAAAGAACGTGGTACACACTACCTTAACCAAACGGTCAACATAGGAAGTCAAGGGTACCATGTTACCCTCTGATACGATCTGATGAGAAGGGCACTTCACCTCTCTAGTATTGTTCTAAAAGCCCATAACCTCAGACTGTTCATGACAAAACATCAGACAAACCCAAATGAAGGGACATTTATAAAGCAGTTAACCAGTACTCTTTAAAAATGTCAAAGTTACACATTCCATTTCCTCCTTCTATACCTGACTCTCCTCCTTCCTCTGTTGCTCCAGGCAAACAGAGACCAATTGTTGAATGGCTGCTTGCAAGCTTTTAAGACCCCAAACCAAAACAAAAAACCTGTTGCCGTCAATTCCGACTCCCAAGCACTACACAATGAACTAGGAGGTAGAACAGAAGAACTAAATATATTAGGCCAATTAACCAGGATGTCCCATGAAACCATGAACCTAAACCTCCAAACCAAGGAACCAAATCCCATGAGGTGTTTGGCTGTATATAAACACCCTCAGCAGTTACTTTTTCTTTGTTGTAAATAAAGGTATCAACTTTTGCCAATTCAGCTTTTTATAGGTATACAACTTATCAACAGCAATTACATTAATCAGCTGTGAAACCCTGTCCTTAATGCTATTTTTCCATCACTGTAATCTGAATGTCAGTACTCCATAAGCAATAACCCCTCTATTTCCCCTCCCTCCTGCCCTGGTAACCACTAATAAACCACTAAGAACATTTGCCTGTTCTTGTCTTTTTATGTAAGTGACATTATACAGTTGCCTAATTGCATCTTTGGCCATGAGACCAGAAGAACTGGATGGTGCCCAACTACCATTGAACATTTTGATCAACTATTGTATAGAAGAATACTAATCAAAAGGGGGAAAATGCAAAACAATTTCAAGTTCTCATAGATTCTAGACTTTCTGGAGCCATGGAAGGTAGATGAACCCCTGAAACTATTACCCTGAGATAATCTTTAAACCTTAAACCAAAAAATAACCCCTTATGTCTTCTTAAAACCAAACAATAGCTTAACTAGTAAAGAATGTCTGCCTTGAGCACTGTGCTCTTTCAAGATCGATCTATACAGGATCAAATTGACAACAGCAATTCGAAAGATTAGGTAGGAACCTTAGGGGGCAGTAAGTTTATGTTAATGAAGGAGGAACAACTCAGAATAGGAGGGTAAAAATGATTACACAACTCTAGGAATGTAATCAATGTCACTGAATTGTACATGTAGAAAATATTGATATAGGTTCTTCTGTGTATACTCTCAACAAAAACTAAAAATTTTTTTTCAAAGTCATAAAAGATAAGGAAAGACTGCGATCTGTCAGAGACTGGAGGAGACTAAAGAGACAATGCAATGTACTTCCTGAATCTGATACTGGGCCAGGGAAAGGATATTAGTGGAAAATGGGAAATCCAAATAAAGTCTGCAATTTAGTGAACAGTACCTTACTGATGTTAATTTCTTAGTTCTGATAAAGGTACCATGATTACATAAGATACTAACATTCGGGAAACCTAGGTGAAGGGTATATGAAAACTTCATGTAGTATTTTTTGCAGCTGTTCTGCAAGACTAAAATGATTTCAAAATAAAAGTACTGAAGAAAAATATATACAGGTAATGAACTCTGAAATTTAAATATTATTGAAAGTGATCCAGGCATAACTGAAGTTCATTGCTGGATGGTGATAAATGGTTATTATTAAACGATGAAGTAATCCCAATATGAAACAAAAATATCAAAGGAATAAAAGCAGTAAATCAGAATTCATGGGTTTCATTCTTACTTTCTATATATAGATATACAAGAGCAATTCAACTCCTTTGGGTTCATTTTTACAGTTATCGAAGTTATATTATACTCTAACAAAATGATTTATTTCTAACCACTATTTAAACTCTTGGGGCAAAGGTTGTATATGAAAAATTTCATAAAAACTTAATTATGGCCAAGTTCGTATCTTTAACAAATAAAGCTTGAATTGTACATAAAGCATGATGAACTTTATGGGAAGGCTGGCTCAGCATCTTGCCAAGTATATGTATGCTCTGTGGGAATAAGTAGATATAAAGCAGCAAAAATAGGCTGATGACTCCTTCATTCTGAACTTTTACCTCAACCTCACCATGTTTCCTTATGACTTAAGGGTGTGGGTGTTTATAGATAACAGATGCTTTAATTCTGCCTCATTTTTATGATAGTCCATGTGATGGTTAAAATTGTGTGTCAACTTGGCTGGGCCATGATTCTCAGTGTTTATATGTGATCACCCCCATGATAGGATCTGCTGTGAGTAGCCAGTCAGTTGAAAGGAGTTTCCTTGGGCATGTGGCCTGCATCCGAATGTAAGTGGACGTTCTGGCTTTTGCCTGCTCTGGATCCTGCAGCTGCCTGCTGTTCATCTGACCTCTGGTTCTTGGGACTTGAGCTAGCAGCTTATCTGCTGATCTTGGGATTCATTGATCTTCACAGCCTGTGAGCAAGAGCCCTGCTCTCCAACCTGCCTATCTTGGGTTCACTAGCCCCTGCAGCTACGTGAATCAGGAGAAGCCTTGCGATCTTGCCTCATGATCTTGGGATTCATCGACCTTCACAGCCTGTGAACAAGAGCCCGCCGCTCTGACCTGCGATCTGGGGTTCGCCAGCCCCTGTGGCTATGTGAGTCAGGAGAAGCCTCTATCCTGATTCATGGACTTGGGACATTCCAGCCTCTACGATCGTGTGAGCCGTTTCATTGATATAAATCTCTCTATATATATCTACATGCTTTACTGGTTTTGCTTCTCTACAGAACCCACCCTAAGACAGTCCACATCTCTAACAATACTAGTTTCTAAAAAGATGTTATCCTTTTAAATACACAGTTTTATTTATATGATTGCTTAAATTTTTCATTAAAGAAGCAATATAATTTAAAAGTTTTTATTTAGGGGGCAATAATACAGTAATATATTTAAGGCACATGAAAAAATTTGGCATTCAATCCCAAGAAAAAAATACAAATTATTCCAGTAAGCTTTCAGAATCTATTTCATTAGTCCAAATAGTTTTTAAAAAAATTGTTTCAATAGCACCAAAAATTCATCTCCAATAAGGCATGGATGTGCTCTCTCTGGTCTCAGTGCTTGAGCAGCTGCTGCCTTGTGTATTCCCAAATCAGCAGTGCTCCACTCACATGGACATTAAGCGAGCGGATGATGCCCCGTTGAGGAATTTCCACGCAAACATCCAACTGCTGGATCAGATTTGCTGGAATTCCTTCACGTTCATTTCTGATAAAGAAAAACGGGGGAAAAACAGTTGATTTTCTTGTAATAAGTCAGTTTCCCTTTAGGTATTCTAAATGTTATTGGAAGAGACAGCTTAACAAAATTAAATAAGTCTGTGGTACCGAAAAATAAATAAGACTAAAAAGGATTTATGGTTCAATTCTGTGTTCACCTAACCATCTGACAAAGGTGAGATAAATCAAAAGTAGGAATGCTTTCCATAAATGTTACAAGTCAAGACAGCAGCTATAATATCAGGAGTCTAGGTAAATTGTAAAACAGGTAAAATTGTCTAGACTGAGAACTCAGAGAATATACATGCACAAGAGAATTTCCTTACCCCAACAAGAGGAGAGATTTCTCAGGAAAGCAGTATTGAGTTAGGTCTAAACTTTTGGCAGTTTGTTCCACACCAATGATAGTATAACCTTCTGCTTTTTTCTGCTGCAGATAATCAATCAGCTGAGATGGTTTTACCTTCACATTAGTTTAAAAAGAGCAGAATATTAAATCATTCATATTTAATGCTTGGAGTAAAGTCAGACTTTTAAAGGAACTTTTATTAAACCAAGCTTGTTAAATAAAAATCTTTTCAGAGAAAAAAGAACTGTACACTACAAAAAGGAATTCTACTAACATCATATAAATGTATAAAAATTATTCCTAAATCAAGAATAAGCTGCAACAGGACACATTTTACAGAAAAGAATAAATCCAGCATTGTTGATGACATCTAAAAGTACAAAAATGTGAAAGACAGTAAAATAGAATAACAGCAGTAGGCTATATCTTATTTTTAACTATCATTTTAAAATATTTAAGGCTGGACTACTATAAATTACTAGCAAATGATTGATACTTGAAGATAGAATACTACAAAAATTTTTAGTAATACAGCAAGTCAAATTATATCTAATAAATTATTTTCTACCCACCTCCACTAAAGGAAGCCACTGTTCTGCTGAAACACTGAGGTGCTGAAACTGTTTATCGCTGATACAGTGAAGACTGCCAACAACGAGCACTGAGGCCCCAAATATCTCACAGGTCCGGCATAATCCTATACAGAACAAATGGAAATTTAGATTGTTTTCCAATATAACGCTAAATTCATTATGCCCTAAATATTCTTCTGCATTTTTCCCCAAATGTGGGGGAAAAGCCAAAAACTGACAGTGGATTAAAATTTTTAGGATCAAAAGATTTTAAGCAAGTTCCCTGGAAAATTATAATTTTACCTCCTAAGTTGGTTGGTTTATCAATGAGTGAGCCCACTACAATCAGTCTACCAACTGACTTTCCAAGTTTGGCGGCACGATCCTGAAACTCTAGCTCCAGTTCTAAATCTGGAACATTATTTTTCCATGGGTTAATCTTCTTCTGAACATCAGTCCACTCCGATTGGTTATCTGCTTCACCTGAGTTAGAACCTGAGAAGGAAAAATAAAATAATCATATATATATATTTGTTGCTAGTTGCTGTTGAGTTGATTCTGACTCATGGTAACCCCAAGGGTGCAGAGTAGAACTGCTCCATAAGGTTTTCAAGACTGTGACTTTTTGGAAGCAGATCACCAGGCCTGTCTTCTGAGGTGCCTCTGGGTGGGTTCAAACTGCCAACCTTTCAACTAGTAGTCGAGCACTTAACCATTTGCGCCACCCACAGACTCACATATATATATACGTGTGTGTCTGTATTAGTTTTTAAATAGGTTCAAATGATAGTTTGGAATGAGATTCATCACATTAACTAAAGAACTTTGCCTGGATTTTGACACACCTGCCATTTTCAATATTAATTTTAAGTTTTCAAGTTCAGCTCTACTAACCAATATACATTTCATAAGAATCTAAGATGTACATTTTTTTTCACATTTTTGCATATCTGAAATTAGGAAGCATCTTAGAATCAATATCATGGCTTGGCAGCATTTTTTCCTTATAGATATATAAAATAATGGTGTATCTTACAAACAGTAGAGTGTGAGATTGTGATTTACTATAAAAATATGATATTCCTGAAATATTTAAAAAATTATCGTACCTTAAATTATTTTACAAGTACTTAGGAAACTTTTTTAAAAAGGAAGGATATTCTACCATTGTCTCAGGAAACATCTAGCTCAACTGGCACAACATAGCTTATAAGTAGAATGTAGAACATTTTCTTTATAATGTTATATATAAAGAAAATGTTCTACATTCTACTTTGGTGAGCAGTGTCTGAGGTCTTAAAAGCCTGTGAGTGGCCATCTAAGATACTCCACTGGTCTCACCCCATCGGGAGCAAGGGAGATTGAAGAAAACTAAAGATATGAGGGAAAGATTAGTCCAAAGGGCTAATGGACCACAACTACCACAGCCTCCACCAGACTGAGTCCAGCAAAACTAGATGGTGCCCGGCTACCACCACTGACTGCTCTGACAGGGATCACAATAGAGGGTCCCAAACAGAGCTGGAGAAAAATATAGAACAAAATTCTAACTCACTAAAATAGACCAGACTTACTGGTCTGACAGAGACTGAAGAAAACACTGAGAGGATGGCCCCAGACACCCTTTTAGCTCAGTACTGAAGTCACTCCTGAGGTTCACCCCTCAGCCAAAGATTAGACAGGCCCATGAAACAAAATGAGACTAAAGGGGCACACCAGCCCAGGGGCAAGGACGAGAAGGCAAGAGGGGACAGGAAAGCTGGTGACTGGGAACCCAAGGTTGACAAGGGAGACTGCTGACATGTCATGGGGTTGGTAACCAATGTCACAAAACAATATGTGTACTAACTGTTTAATAAGAAGCTGGTTTGTTCTGTAAACCTTTATCTAAAGTATAATAGTAATTAAAAAATAAAAAGGGAAGGATATTCTATACAGCAATTATTTCTTCACTAATTTGGTAAGTATAAATAATGTTATAATTAACCTACACAATTACAGTGTTTTGATCTTTGTAATACAGAACTGAGACTGACATAAGAGAAAATTCATTCCTGTACTTCCTGGACTCTTACTCCTGACTCACTCCAGACTGCTGACTGAAAAACGCTTGACTGCCTATACAATAAGACACATTCCCAGCCCACAAGGTGCACTTTGTTTACTGGGGATAGAATAGACATGCAAATAATTATAGCACAGTATAATGGTAAGGGTATGCTCACACAGAAAATGAGTTATTACTATCTGGGGGAGGGGGACCAAAGAGTAAAACCCAGAAAGGCTCAAAGGAAGGCAAGATAAAGTTTGCAAAGCAGACCATGTGGGGAAAGAGCAATGCTGACAGTAGATACAGCATGTGCACAAGGGCAGGACATGGAAGGACAATAATGTGGCAACAGCAAGGACTTTGGTGTAGGAATGGAAGGAGACAGGCTCAGAGCAGATCATAATGGCTTTGTATATAATAATAAAGAATTTATTCTACAGATGGTGGTGTTAGTTGCCATGAAGTTGGCTCTGACTCATGGCGATCTTATGTGTAACAGAACAAAGTGTTGCCCAGTCCTGCACCATCCTCATGATCATCGATTGGTATGTTTGAGTCCACTGGTGCGGCCACTGTGTCAATCCAGCTCACTGAAGGTTTCCCTCACTTTGACTGACCCTCTACTTTATCAGACACAATGTCCTTTTCTAGTGATCAGTCTTTCCTGATGACATGTCCAAAGTAAGCAAGATGAAGTCTTGCCATCCTTGCTTCTAAGGAGCATTCTGGTTGTATTTCTTCTAAGACTGATTAGTTTCTTCTTCTGGTGATCCACAGTATATTCAATATTCTTCGCCAATACCACAGTTCAGATGCATCGATCCTCTGCCTTCCTTTTTTATCGTCCAGCTTTCACATGCACATGAGGCGATAGAAAAGACCAGAACTTGGGTCAGCCACACCTTAGTCATCAAAGTGACATCTTTGCTTTTTTAAACTTTAAAGAGGTCTTTTGCAGCAGATTTGCCCAATGCAATATGTCATTTGATTTCTTGACTGCTGTTTCCATGGACACTGAGTGTTGATCCAAGTAGAATGAAATCACTGACAACTTCAATTGTTTCTCCATTTACCATGATGTTGTTTATCAGTCCAATTGTGAGGATTTTCATTTTCTTCACATTCCAGTGTTAACCATACTGATGGCCGTACGTAGTCTTTGACCTGCATCATTCAGTGCTTCAATTCTTTATTTCAGGCAAGGAAGGTTGTGTCTTATGCGTATGGCAGGTTATTAGTAAGTCTTCCTCCAATGCTGATGCCGTGTTCTTCTTCAAATAGTCCAGCTTCTTGGATTATTTGTTCAGCATACAGATAAAAGTAAGGTGAAAGGATACAACCCTGCCGCACATAAGAAGGAAAATAACTACTGGTTTTGTGTTTTAGAAAAATCCCTCCTCAAAGTGATGTGATGATATATTGGGGTTGGAAAACCATCAAGAGGCTTTTGCACTAGTCCAGGCGAAGACAATGAGAACGTAAGTCAGTGCAAGATGGGCTAAGGAAAATAATGACTTCTATAATAACTTCGTGGCACTATTCAGTTTAGATATGTTGAGTTTAGAGAGCTTATGAAATATATGAGTGTGAATGTCCAACAGTCTCTCAGGAAAGAGCCTGGGCAAGAGATAAGGAAATGAAAGTTACAGTTGGATAGGTAAGGATTTCAAGTTGTAGGAACTAATAAAAGTGTTCAAGGAGAACATGCAGATTGAGAAGAAAACAAAACCAATGAAAAAACTTCAGGAGGATACTAACATTTAAGCCTCAGCATAAAAAAACCTATGGGAATGTTCCTCTCTTTACCAAAAACAAATGAAACAAACAGAAGCACCTCCCTAGTCTTTTCCCCATTCTCATATCTCTGCTCCACTCCATGGCTGAACTCAAAATAGCTGTCCATATATGTTGTCTCTATTTGCTCTCCCCCCAGTCTCCACTCAGCCCATTCCAGTCACGGTTTCCTAACTACACAAATAAAATGGCTATGTCACCTCTTTTGCTTCTACATCTTCACATTTGCTATTCACTATTCTGGAAAGCTCTTCCCCTAGATCTTTGCTTAACTCGCTCTCTCACCTCATTCACGTCTGTTAATGTCAACTCCTTAGAAAGGTCTTTCTAACCATTTGTCACTATCTCTTCACCCTGCTTTATGGTTTTTGAAAATGGTACTTTTACTACTTGACATTATATATGTTTGTTTACGATTATCTCCTCCACAAGAATGTAAGCTCCATAGGGCAGTGACTGTCTAATGCCTAGCATATTAGAGATAATAAATAAACATCCGCTGAATAAATGATTAAATAAATTTAAGGCAATATGTCTTAAAATGTGTGAATGAACCATCTAGAGTGCTTGATAAAAAATATACTTTCCTAGAGCCTCCTCCAGACATACTGAATCTAAGGGTAAGACCTAGGAATCTGCACTTTTAACAAGTTATCCAAGAGATTCTTGAAAACATTAAAGTTTTAGAGAAATGCAAATATAAGTAGCAAGTGGGAGAAGGGGAACTCATAAAGGAGAGTGAGAGGAGTGAGATTTAGCAGGAAAATCAGGATAGCAAAAGACTAGCAAATAAATGCCTCAGAAAGGTCAGGTATGGAAAGAAGAGGTAAATGTCCATTTAGATTTTGTAACTCAAAGGAAAATGGTAGTTTTCTGAAAAATTTTAATGTCTTTCATCAAATTTGGGGAAATTCTGGCCATTATTTCTTCAAATATTCTTTCTGCCCCTTTCCCTCTTCTACTTCTGGCACTCCCATAATGTGTATATTGGTCAGTTTGATGGTGTCCCACAGATCCCTTAAGCTCTGTTCACTTTATTCTTTTTTCTTTCCACTTCTAAGACTGGATAATTTCAATTGTCCTATCTTCAAGTTTGCCAATTCTGTCTTCTACCTGTTTAAATCTGCTATTAAACTCCTCCAGTGAATTTTTCATTTCAGTTGTACTTTTCACCTCCGTATTTTCTACTTGATTGCTTTTCATAATTTCTGTCTCTTTACTGAGATTCTCATTTAGTTCATACATTGTTTTTCTAGTTTCCTTTAGTTCTCTGTCCGTGGTTTCCTTAGCTCTTTGAGTATATTTTAGACAGTTGATTTAAAATCTTTGTCTAGTATGTCCAATGTCTGGGCTTCCTTAGGGATGGTTTCTCTTACTCTTTTTCCTTTGAATGGGCTATAATTTGTATGTCTGTGATTTTTTGTTGAAAACTGGACATTCAAATATTATAATGTGGTAACTCTGGAAATCAAATTCTCCCCCTTTGCCAGGTTTGCTATTCTTGATTGCTGAAGGCTTAGTTAGCTTTTGTTCAGCCAGTGTTTTGACTGAGGTTTCCTTGAATGCCAGGAGTTGTTTTTTTTTTTCTTTAAAAAAAAAAAAACTCTCCTAGTTAAGTCTTTACAGACTTGCTCAGTGTTAGTATGTCCAATGTCTCGGCTTCCTCAGGGACGATTTCCATCCATTTATATTCTTCCTTTGAATGGGCCATAGTTACCTTTTCTTTGTATGCCTCTGGTTTTTTGCTGAAAACTGGACATTCAAATATTATAATGCAAGAACTCTAGAAATCAGATTCTCCCTTTTCCCCAGGGTTTCTGTCCTTGATTGTTGAAGGCTTAACTTGTGTTCAGCCAATGTTTTGACTCTGAATGCGAGGAGCTTTAAAAAAATAAATAACACCTCTCCTAGTTTCCGCAGATTGGCTCAGTGCTGGGACACTTCTTTAACACTTAGCCAGGCCATTTATAGTTCTGCCTCAGCCATCACATCCTGCGTGCACTGGGACTATAGCTCAGCCAGTGGTGAAAGCTTAGGGTCTTCTCAGGTCTTTTCTGAGCATGTACACTGCTTTGGACATGCATGTGGCTTTCTAAATTCCCCACTATACACAAGCACTTTTGAATGCCCTCATTTCCCAAAGACTCTCTTCCAGGTTTTTCTTCCCAGGCTTTAGGCAGTATATTGTATGTTTCAACTACAATCTTTTGCCCCAAGTGGCTGTGGGTTTTTCAATCACCTTACAGTGTTTTCCAGCAATATCTACCACTTCTCCACCCTGAGTAGGTTTGGAGTTAGATGAAACTTAGATGAGTGCTTTGCATTAGTCCTTCAGGTAGCATCCAGATAGAACAGACAAACACAATTACTTGCAAATAAGGCTTGCTATGTTCCTTCCAGAACCAGAAATCAGGATCCCACAATGGGAACAGAGATGCCATCCTGAAGATTGCTGCCAAGACAGGGAAGGGGTGGAGTAAGGGCAAATAAAAGCACCACAAACTTTCCTACTGTTTTTGAGTTGCCTTTTTCTTGATTCAGCATTCACTTGGTTGCTGTACACCTTTGACTCTTCTGCAGAGTTCTGACAAAGCTAGTTTTGATAGTTTCTGATTGTCTTCTTGATGTGTCTTTGGTGGGATGAGAGTTTGGAGCTGCCTACTCTGCCATTTTGCTGATACCACTCTGCCCTCTCGTCTAACTTTACCGACTAAATTTAAACTGTGTGGTCAATAAATGTGTACCTTCTTAAATCTATAATCTTTAAACAAATATACAGGGGGAGAGCAATGAATATTAATTAACAATAATATTTAAAAGGAAAGAGAAGCTACTTTATGAAAAACAGATCAAGTTCTCTTCTTCGCTTTTTACAGCAAAGCTAACTTTTCAAGTGAAAGTATTAATCAAAATTATATCACATTTTTTTCGATGGCTTTTCTCTAAGTGGAGGACCGGAATTCACCACATCAGTGAAAAAGTTATATTATCAACTTTCTGTTCTAATTAACAAATCAAGAAGCCTGATCAAGTCAACAAGAGGAAAAAAAATAAAAACTGTTTTTACCTATGTCCTGCTGAGACCAGTCACCTGGTTTTAGTTCACAGAGTTGAGTCTGAGAAAGGTACCACTGAAATCCTGCATCAAAAGGAATGTCAGTGAATCTGGCAAATTTATCAATGGCAATCCATTCATCTTCAATAAGGCCTGAAAGGCGTGGAAGGATGTAAAATATGGTCTGAAAAAAGAATTGTAAAATCTAATTTTTCCTTTAAAAATAACAAAGAAATCCATGATAATACATTCAAAATACAACTTAAACCAGCCCAAAAGCAATGATAAGAAGGCAGGAATGGACAGGAGAACTGTACAAATGGAAACAGGGAACCTGGGGTGGAGAAGGGGAGAGTGTTGACATATCATGGGGTTGGCAACCATGTCACAAAACAATTTGTGTATTAACTATTTAATGAGAAACTAATCTGCTATGTAAACTTTCATCTAAATAATAATAAACAAATAGAATACAACTTATTACTACTGACATATTCTCCCAATCTATCATATCTAATCAAATTACATACTTTCATTTATATCTTGTAGCAACTTTCTGTATATATTTCTCATCTTCTCTAAAAAAATTAGAGGATTAATTTAGGAAATCCCTGAGAGCAGACAGATCTTCCACTCCTGTGTTCCTAAGTGCATGTAATACAGCACCACACACATAGTATAGGCTCTTAATTAAAATATATATATATATTTCGGAATTAATCATTAATAATGTTGGGGAAGGTTCAGACAAATGCAATTCACTAATAACAAAACACCTCCATAACCTATCAAGTTCAAACTCTTTTGATGTCACATCTTTTACTTTTGCTGTCTTTAGACAAATTTATAATCTGAATTTTGGCTTGACTATATATAATGGGCCCTGGTGGCGTAGTGGTTAAGATCTATGGCTGCTAACCAATTGTTTGGCAGTTCAAATCCACCAGCCACTCCTTGGAAACCCTACGGGGCAGTTCTACTCTCTCTGTAGGGTCACTATGAGTCGAAATCAACTCGATGGCAACGGTTTTTTTTTTTTTTTTTTAACTTAGTAATTACATAAACAATCCTTCTTTCCTTTTCCCCACTAAAAGAAAACCAAGAACCAGAAAATGGCCAAAGGGGAAGAGGTACAGAAGAGGCAGAAGCACAAGTAGGCAATTTAAAAATGAAATAACAAGCAACTTAAAACAATGTGCACGTCTTTTAGAATAAGTATGATTTTCTTTATGATTGCAACTAAATGTTTATTAAGTATCCAGGATACTAGATCAAGCTCTAAGTATATAAAGACACAGTTCTTGTGAGCCATTAACTTTCCTTATTGTATTTACACATGTAATTATGATACTGATCATTAATGGAGAATAAAGAATATATGAGAGTGAGGTAGTCAAGGGAAGGGACAAGAGAAAGAGGGAAGTGAAGGACTTACTACTGCTGGAGAACTGAATAGAAAAAAGTTGACTGAACACTAGATAGTTATTAAAGGAGTCCTTCAGAAAGATGTCAAACAAAGCATTCTGGATGCTGAAGAACACAGAGCAGAGCATGTTAAAGTATTTGTTCTATTTTCAAAACTAACAGTTGAGAAAAATCCTCAATAATATTTGCACTGAAGCAACAGAAAATACATGTTAATATCCTATGATGTATATCTCATGATGTACATATACCCGTATTAAAAAGAAAAGGCTAACTTATTAGTAATCCACCAAAAAACCTGCTTACACATAGTAGCTACAGTTTCTGATACTCCCAAGTTCTTTAGAGGTGCTATTCTGGGTCAAATGTTTCAAATTCAAAGGCAGAACATTATAATTATAGTTGAAACAGGGAGAAAGTAATGTAATTTACATAAATTTTAGCAATTTATACATTAAATTTTACAGTAAATTAAATGAAATAATTTACATATTAATTATGTTTATGGTTCTTAAAATTATATAAGCACATTCTGTTACCATCCAGAACCTAAAAAAATGCAATTAACAAGAGTAGATCTTTTTGTTCTTTCATTAACAATGAGCTTCATTACAACAAAATCTCACCTGCACAAATGTTTTCACCCATTTCCTTTTTATGTCAGAACAGATTTCTGTTTAGAGTTAAATATTCCCTTCCAGTGTTTACAAGCCAGACACTGCCTGAGAAATAGAAAGTGAAAATGACTAGCCAATTTTCACTGCTTAAGAGTGAAATGCAAGCAAGTCATCTGCATAGTGACAAAATTAAACTTTGAGCTTTAAAATGTTAAGGTGATGTTTGTAAGCAAAGAAAAAAATTAACCTAGTTACAACCCTTCAGCAATCAGGGCAGTAAAGGGAGCTCAGGGTTAAAGACACATTAGAGAATTTATAAATGATATTCTCTACTCACCTCCAGACAATAATCCTTAAGTGGGTGAAATGTTGCAAAAAAGAAATGCTCTTGAATGCGCTGCCAATTCTTCTTGGCATTCCTGAGGATTAAAAATCTAGTATGAGGTGCAGGCAAGTGAAACAACTCTGGTTAGGGGGCAAATCAATTTGCTATCTTGAAGAGGTGCTGTAGAATTTAGAATGGAAAATTGTGTAAATTTTATACTAAGATTTATACACCAATATCTCTAATATCAACATACTTACAAACAATAAGTTTCTTTTTTTTCAGATTCATAGGGTTATTTTGTTATTAAATTTCACATTTTTAAATGAAACTCAAAGAGAAATTAAATAACTCTGTCAAAGTCATACAAAAAACAATGGTTCAATTAAGATGAAACCCAGGTCTCTGAGCTTTAAGTACAAGGATCAGTGTAGAAGAGTGTGCAGTTGGAAACGAACTTTAGGCTTGGGATCAAGGAAAAATAATTGGAATCAAAAAGAGGTTGATGACTAACCATGATGGGGAAGATCTCATGGAACAGTGTCCCAGATATACAACCTATATGACTTGGGGGGAAGGATTCTTAAAAGGAACTACATGAGAAATCTTGGGTTGGAATCCTTGAGTCTCTCTCTGGCAGCAGACCCTTTATTTCAGGAGAGAAAATTACTACAGAAGTCACCTTTTCTACTTTCATACAACATGTAGCCAAAACGTACCAACTTTCATCAACCAAATTCAATACAAGCAGGACTTAAAATTCTTAACCCAAGTTATTGAAGTTTTAAAAGGCAAAAGAGGTAGGGATTAAAATTTATAAAATACAACATTCAGGTTTCACTTTAAATTCATGATCATCCATCAAAAGCTGAGCAGCTATTTCAAGACATTTTTCCTGATGAGATCATTCTCCCACTCTGGCCAAGGTATCTTCTTCACTCATGCAAGTTTCTGTTCCCTCTCCTCACCTCTCACTATCAGCAGATAGCTGTGCCTCACCTATCACTGGAGTGAAAAATAGAAGACATTAGATGAGACATCTTTCATCTTCCTGCCACCACCTTATGTGCCTTTCCCTTCCCTTCTCCTCTCTTCAAAGGCAACACCCCCATATGTGCTCTAGATCCCATTTTCTTGTATTCTACTCTATCTACCCCCTTTCTGGATCTTTTCCTCTTCTCTATTCCATCCTTTCCTTCAGCTTTTTCAAAAGAGCTCTCATGTCCAATTTTAAAAAAGAAGACAAAACAGCCTTATTAAAACATCCATCAGTAGGCGACTCATGAGATACCTTAAGGCACAGCCATACAATAGAATATTGAGCAGCTGTTAAAAGAAAAATCATTTACAGTTTAGCACCTTTGGTGGGGGAAGAGAGGAAGGGACAGAGGGAAAGACAATGTCACATTTTTATACTTTTCTGCATTATTCAATTTCCTAACCATTGTATCTATTTAAAAACAACAGTTACAAACACAAAAATGAAAACCAAAGACCCTCCTCCTCTTTGATAGCACATTCACCACTAGCTATTGTACTTTCTATTATGCTTTACAGAGAACTTTTTAGAGAGAATTGTCTCCACAAGTTGGCCATGTCTCACCTTCCTCTCTGCCCATTTTTTAAAAATTAAAGACATGAGGTATTTAAAATATTCTAAATATTCAAGTAAAGATAATAACATAACAGACACCAGAGAACCTACCACCCCGATGTAATATGTGAGTGCTGCAGCTACCAAGAAACTTAGAATAGGATCTACAACCAATTGAAACATCTCAATGCCAGAGAATAAATCATGATTTAATCATAAAGAAGACTGTCAACTGACAAACGCCTACCTGCATGTGAAATTTTGTCAAATCCCTCAAACCTCCTCCCACAAAAGGAAAGGCTAAAAGAACTATCGATTAACTGTATGTCCCCTGGCTACTTATCTCTAACCCAAAGACACAAGTAGTACTCCATACAGAAGCAATGTGCCCTATTAAAATGTTGATATAATTTCATGAAACTGTATATTAAAATTAGGAACATCTCTTGCTGTTTGAATTTGGCTTACTATGTGATAATGCAAATGCTCTCCTGAAAAATATGAATGCCCAAACCTACTCATGTAAATAAAGTTGGCTAAGTATTCACCAAGTATAAAAAATGATAAATTAAACATACCTATAGGCCAAGAGAAAGTAAGACATTTGATCACTTGAAAAAGATCAAGAATTCCAGTTGCCAGATTATACCTGGAAAGTTAGGAATCCTTGGCAAGGTTCCCCCTTCCTTTGCTCTTTTGTCCTTCATCTATAACTGGTCTCACCACCCAATTTTCTTTCTTCTCTTTCTAGCCCTTTTCCCTTATGTATATACAGTGCATGTATGTGTATAATATATAAAATTATTTTTCCCCTGAGCCCCCAATACTTCCCTTACCCACTTAATCACTCAAATGCCTCTTTGGACACTTGTATCAAAAGTTAAGGCAGGTACATCTAAGATACTCCACTGGTCTCACCCCTTTGGGAGCAAGGGAGAATGAAGAAAACAAGATACAAGGGAACGATCAGTCCAAAGGACTAATGGACCACAACTACCATGGCCTCCACCAGACTGAGTCCAGTACAACTAGATGGTGCCCGGCTACCACCACTGACTGCTCTGACAGGGATCACGATAGAGGGTCCCAGACAGAGCTGGAGAAAAATGTAGAAAATTCTCACTCACAAAAAAAGACTGGACTTACTGGCATGACAGAGACTGGAGAAACCCCAAGAGTGTGGCTCCCGGACACCCTTTTAGCTCAATAATGAAGTCACTACCGAGGTTCAGCCCTCAGTGAAAGATTAGACTGGTGTATAAAACAAAACAAGACTAAAGGGGCACACCAGTCCAGGGATAAGGACTAGAAGGCAGGAGGGGACAGGGAAGCTGGGAATAGGGAACCCAAGGTTGAGAATGGAAGAGTGTTGACATGTCATGGGATTGTTAACCAGTCATAAAACAGTTTGTGCACTAACTGTTTAATGAGAAACCAGTTTGCTCTGTAAATCTTCATCTAAAGTACAACTAAAAAAAAAGTTAAGGCAGGTAGAGGATTTATAAGATAGCTTGTGACTACAGAAGTACCCTCACCCCTGGCCCCATGTGAAACTAAGACTCACGGAAAGTCTCATTTGCAGCATGTGCTAATGAAGGTCAAGGCAAAACCCTCCAGATGCTACTGGTTTTCCAAACATTATTTCATACTTGTAATATGGTGCTTCCAATCATTATCAGTTTGTTTATATAAGTGATTGCCTTTTGAGTTTATAAAGAAAAACCTTTAATGTTGATTCATATTTCCTGGGTCTCTGAAATTTCTAAAAAATTCAGTATTCCTGGGTGGTGATAATCAATGATAATAATTTTTTAAAAAGTAAAAGGACACCACCAGCACCTCATAAAAGAAGAAATAAGCTCAGATACTAGGAGATGCTTGGGACACAATACCCTGCTTTTTTGCAGTGACTCTCAATGAGAGGTGGGTGTGGAAGGACGAAGAGGTACACATCAGCATCTCACCTGCAGAGCTTTACCAAGTGCTGGGTCATGCACCCATCTGCCATTCCACCCACAGCAGCAACATTTTATCTGTTTGATACTGAGCTTCTGTGTAAGATTTTGTCTGAAGAATAAATGAGCTCTATTGGGAAGGGGGGCGGGTGTAGGGGTAGGGATGTCCATTTTAACTAGTAAAGTTGAATGGTTAACAGCACTATCTTTATAGTCAGCCCATTCTCACACTCCTTTAACAACAGAGGATGATGACATTTGGCTATACTGAAGAGAAACATCCAGAAGTATGTAAAAGATGATTTATAAAATAAAGGATTGAAGGTAAAAAGCAATGAAAGGTCAAGATGGAGCTGACAATGATTAAAATTGTAAGTAAACTGGATATCAAATAGTGGACATCAAACAGACACTGGAATTTGCCTTCCACAAAGGCTCTATTGTGCTCAAAACTAAACCCAAACCCACAGCTATCAATTCCAACACATGGCAACCACGTGTGTTACAGAGCCGAATCACTCCATAGGGTTTTCTGGGCTGTAATCTTTACAGAAGTAGATTGCCAGGCCTTTCTTCTGAAGTGCCACTGGGTGGGTTCAAACTGCCAACCTTTGGGTTAGTAGCCGAGAGCAAGCTGTTTGTGCCACCCAGGGACCTTATGTGCTCAAGTATGATGGGATTAGAAGATAACAAGGCCAGATAACCACGCCTTCTCTGTGGATTCCACTGGAAGTAAAGCATTAAGTTCCAAGTTTCACTTACCCTGCTCCATGCATGTTTTCCACTTGATTAAGACTGGATTCAATCACAGAAGTCAAAGCATCAAATTCTTCGACATACAATGTTTTACACATGCTCCAGATTTTCTTAAGAGCAAGTAAAGCATAGAGTCGGATACTGAAATTGTGACTGAAACACCACTGCAGTACAACAATAAGGGCTTGCTTCAGAGTTAGTTTCTGAAAAGAAAGGGGAAATTCTTTAAATGTTAACATGGACCATTTCACTCTTGACTGAGAAACAGGTATACAGATGATGAAAGTGCTACGGGGGACTTACTTCACTGGCTTTGTGCTGGCGGGGCTTTCATTCTTCCTTCCTGGACAGAGTAGGTTCACTGACATCAACAATTTCCTCAAGGGAAAAAATACACCCCCAGCTCTTTCGTTTTCATTTTTAGTGCTGCAATATATCCCCACCCCCATACTTTGCTGCCTAGGTTAGCTGCCATTGAGTCAATTCTGACTCATGGTGACCCCACGTGTAGAGTACAACTGCTCTATAGGGTTTTCCAGGCTGTGAATTTTCAGAATCAGATCACCAGGCCTGTCTTCCAAGGCGCCTCTGAATGGGTTCTATCTACTAATCTTTTAACTAGTAGTGAAGTGCTTAGCCTTTGCACCAGAGGGTAAAGTGGAATTACTAGTCAGATACAGTCAATCTAAAGGTGAAATGGAGGGAGAATCACTTTTAAGAAGAGGGACAGAGAAGGGTGAGGGGTATACTGGATGTGTATCTGAGATAACCATTATGTGAATGACATATGATTAAGCATTTAATTCTATTCTAGAAGTTGAAAACCAAGCAGGTTAAACAAGACAACCAAAATATCATTAGAAGATAACTTCACAAATTAAAAAAGAGGCAAAAGTTATCTTCTAGCCCTTGACAGTTTTATGAACACAAATGTGGTATCTAAACATAATGACTACTACCTATACCATTAATTATGTCACCAAGTGCTACGCACAACATTTTATGAATCTTATCTGACTTCCCCCCATTCAGGGTCTTAGCTGATCTGGTCCCTGGCGTCCTCCTTTCCTGCCCTGTCTCCCTACCTTATTCTGTAGCCATCACTCTGACCTTCTGTACACTAAGACCATCCTCACCCTAAGGCCTGTGTATCTGCTGTTCCCTCTGTCTGGCCAGTCCTCCCCAGATCTCACGTGGCACGCTTACCCACGTCGTTCAGGTCTCTTTTCAAGAGTCACTTCCTTGGAAAAGCCTTTCCTGAACCCACTTTCTAAAATAGCCTACCTGCTCCAAGCATCCAATCTCTACCCCCTTATTCTGCTTTATTTTTCTTCAAAGCATTTGTCACTAACTGATAGCACAGTGTTTATTATCTCTCTCTCCCACTAGAATATAAGTTCCATGAGAGTAGAGACTGGTTTATTGCTAAATCCCTAGTGCCTAGAACAACTTCTGGCACATAAGACATGGAATAAACATTAGAGTGATGGAGGTGGAGAAAGAAAGACGTAAGGATAAAGAGAAGGAAGCAAAAAATCATAATGACTTCTTCCAAAGTACCCCATGCAGCAGGGGACTTGTGGCCAACTAAACTCACTACACATCTCATCTCCATGGTATCTGCTCATTACCCAAACACAAACTCTCTACTGCTTATCTCTGCTCTCATAGACTTATCCCCCAAAAATACATGTTTCATCTCCTCTGATCCAATTTCACACTGCTTTCCCCTCCTTTCTGAACTATGGTAAGTTCCTTAAACTCTCAGTAACATCTCTTTCCCACCTTCTCAAGTCAGAAGAGGGTCTGCACCCTTTTCAATCCTCAGCGTGGCTTCCAGACCATTACACTTCTCTACCATCACGTAAAAACAACTACCTAACATTCTAATTTCTATTTCTTCTCATTACAGTTATCTACCTGGTCAGGCTCCCTAACTCACCGAAGATTCTAGTAACTGGCTCTGTTGTCTTCCCCCTACTCCCTCCCTCTAATCCTCAATGTCAACACCCACTTCACTTGAGCCACCCACACCCATAGCCATATCCTAGGCCTTGTCATAAACTACTTTTTTTCTAAAATCATAAAATCAGATATCCCCATTTCTGACCACAACTACCTATCTATAAACTAGTTCCCAGTTACCCCTCTCTCTTTTCCTCATGCATCTTGACTCTCTGCTTTCTCACTTTTTATCAGCAGTCTTTCTCCTCTATAAGCTCCATCCCACCAGCCTTTAAACATGCTCAAGAACAGAATTACCTTCATCAGCTCCACAATCTCCAGCAGCTTCTACTTCCTCCCCGCTTCAAGGTCAAATTTCTTGAAGGATATAGCGATACTCGCTATCTCTACTTCCTTTCCCTTCTACTCAGGACATTATGATTTCTACCACTTCATAGCAGCAAAATTCACCAAAGTCACACATACAGCCTCCCCGTTACTAAATACTATGAACACGTGTAAGCCCTGTGTTTCTTGACCTTCCCAGGGCCCTAGACTCTCTTGACTTTTCTCTTCTTGAAAAGATGTCTCCCTATGACTTTTAGAACACCATGTTCTAATGGTTGTCCACCTAGCACTCTTGCTGTTTCTTCTCAGTCTCCTTTGTTAGCTCCTCTTCCTCTTCTGTCCATTAAGTGCTGGTGTTCCTATGGTTCTATCCTTAGCTTCCTTACTTTCTTAGGCTGCATACTCTCTGTGGGTGATCTCACTCATTCCCATGGCTTCAATTACCATCTATTCAGGGTTCCCAAATGTGTGGGATACAGCACTTTTCTTTAGTTGAAATTTTTTGTTGAGATAATTGTACATTCACATGTGGTTTTAAGAAACGATACAGAACAATACCAACAATGACCAAAAAACAAGTGTATGGTCACTTGTGTACGTATACAGGTATATATGTGTACAGGTAGGTACAGGTGCATATATATGTGTGCACAGACAGAAACATCTGTAAGTACAGATATGTGTGTACAGGCACATATATTCATAGAAGGCACAATTACAGATACTTCTCAGACATAACCAAACACCTTGCCAGATTGGTTTTTTAGGTCTGAAGGCTTAGTCTCATGGGACAACTCAGTCAACTGGCATAATATAGTTCACCAAGTTCATGTTCTGCCTCCTACTGAAGTGAGTAGGGCTCTTAAAGGCTTGTGAACAGCCATCTAAGATACAATTATTGGTCTCTACTCATTAGGAGCAAAAGCGTAAGAAGAAAAGCAAAGTCTCAGAGAAGGAACTAGTCTACAGGGCTAACAGCCTATATGAGCCATGGCCTCATCTACCCTGAGACTAGAAGGACTAGAGGGTGCCCAACTACTGCTACCGACCATTCTGATCAGGGCCACAATAGATGGACCCTGATACAAGGGGAGAAAAAAACAGAACTCAAATTCTTAGAAAGTCCAGACTTACTGGACCAGTTGAAACCAGAGGACTTCCTGAAACTATGACCCTGAGATACTCTTTAAACCCTGAACCAGAACTATCCTGAGATCACCTTTTAGTGAAATAACAGAATGGCATACAAAATAAAGGACATTACCCCAAAGGACAGTGGCCTACTAAAAAACCATCTATGTGAGACCAAAAGGTCAACAATTACTCTAAAGCAAAGATGAGAAGATAAGGGGACAGGGAAACTAGAGTACCAAAAACAACCAACCCAGAACACAATTAAAGAGAATGTTGAAACATTGCAAAAAATGTAACTAATGTTACAATTTGTATAGAAATTGTGAAGTGGGTACCTAATTTGCTATGCAAACTTTCACCAAAAACACAAAAAATTATTAAAAAAAAAGAAAAGAAATAATACAGAAATCCCTTGTATACTTTGCTCAGTTTCCCCCAATGGTAATATTTTGCAAAATTACAGTACAATATCGCAACCAGGACACTGACACTGATACAATACAATGATCTTATTCAGATTCCCCTCAGTTTTACTTGTATTCATTGTGTGTGCGTGTATTATGTTCTATACAATTTTGTCACTTGCATAGGTTCATGTATCTACCACCACAATCAAGATACTGAGCAGTTCCAACACCCAGGGATCCCTCATGTTGCCCTTTAATAAACACATCCACTTCCCTCCTGTCTCCCCCTACCCTACAGCCACTTTTTATACCCCCTCTCTTGTTCATTTATTTTTCAATCCTTTATTTATATCAGTATGGATTCACGTATAATTATTTTATATTTTACGCTGTAATCCAATTGTTGCTGTTAGTTGCCACCAAGTTGGCTCCAGTTCATGGCGACCTTATGTATAACAGAACGAAACATTTGTTGCTGGGTCTTGTGCATCATCATTGGCATGTTTGAGTTGACTGTTGTAGCTGTCCTGTCAGTCAATCTCATTGAGGGTTGCCGTCATTTTCACTGACCCTCTCCTTTACCAAACATGATGTCCTTTTCTAGCAACTGGTCTTTCCTGATGACACATCCAAAGTAAGCAAGCCGAAGTCTTGCCATCCTCACTTCTGAAGAGCATTCTGGTTGCATTTTTTCTAAAACTGACTTGTTCATTCCTCTGTTGATCCATGGTGTATACTCAATATTCTTCCACAATTCAAATGCATCAAGTCTTCTTCTGTCTTCCTTTTTCACTGTCCAGCTTTTACATGCATGAGGTGACTGAAAAGACCATGGGTTAGGTCAGGCAAACCTCAGTCATCAAAGTGACATCTTTTTAAAACTTTCAAGAGGTCTTTTGCAGGAGATTTGCCCAATGCAGTATGTCATCTGATTTCCTGACTGCTGCTTCCCTGGACATTGATTGTTGATCCAAGTAGAATGAAATCATTGACAACTTCAATTTCGTCTTCATTTATCACGACACTGTTTATCAATCCAGTTTGTATTTTTCTTTTCTTCACGTCCAGGTGTAATCCATAATTAAGGTGTTTGACCTTCATCTGTAAGTGCTTCAAGCTGTCTTCACTTTGGGCAAGCAAGGTTGTGTCATTTGCATAGCACAGGCTGTTAATCAGTCTTCCTCTAATCCTGATGCCGTTCTTCATACAGTCCAGCTTCCCAGATTATTTATTCAGATACAGATTGAATAAGTAAGGTGAAAGTATACAAATCTGCTGCACACCTTTTCCAATTCTGAACCATACAGTATCCCCTTGTTCTGTTTGATATGCCTCTTGATCCATGTACAGGTTCCACATGAGCACAATTA